GTACAGTTGAGACTGCAAGAGAAATGACTTTGATGTTAGATAAACTAACAAAGGAAGAGATTAATCCCAGTAGATTGGAACCAATAGACAATTATTAAAGCTGTTCACAAAACTAGCTGGGAAATAAATGATAAAAGGAGAATGGAGGTCATGGGGCAGCACGTAAATGGGAGATAAGTAGATAGGCATATAGGTGAGTAATGTTACTTTAGCCTCTAAAGGAGTACAAGCATGTTAATTTGGAGTCTAGAATACATAAATAAATATAACTGGATATCAAGTAACTATGGTGTCCTTGCTAAATAATTCTAATAGAATTTCTATTACAACTTTGAGGAAAAAGTAGATTAAAATTGTAATAACAATTATGATGAAAACTGCTTTCCAGGCGCATATTAAAAAGACTCATTACTGAAGTTATGTACTCATTAAAAAATATTGCATTTATTTTTAAACTCTACTTGCATAACTACCCAAACAGCTAACTCTCATCACTGTGCTGTTGCTCTTAAACTGTCCAATCATCAGGCTGGGGGGTATGTTCTGACCTGGTTGCATTATGGAGGTCCAGCTCACACATGCACATGTATCCGTGGTTACATACACATGTATGCACAATCCCAGAAACACATGTAGATGTGTGCTTACGACCGGGCAGTTTGCAGTTACTGCACAGCAGTGGTCACGGTGGAGGAGCCGAATACCTTGACTGCCAAGTGGTGATGGCATTGTTTTTATGATAATGCGTCTCCATCTGTTCCTCGCTGTCAAATAAAATATTACAATTCATCTGGCTAGCATCACTCTGGGTATATCATTTCAGGGTTATTTATCTTCAAAGTCCAACTCCAGGCTATTTTTTTAATAAAAGTTCCTCCAGGCATAGGTGAAATTAAAATAAAATCAGTTGTTGCTGCAGTACTCACCTCCTCTCCAACTTGTCCCCTGTAATAATTCCTTTTCGCCACAAGGTGTCCTCAGTCTTCTGCTGGACATCAATCAACCTGGAAAACAGAGGACATACTGTGAGTGTAGGCCATCATGGGCCCGCCCCCTGATTCCTCTTGGGGCCCTTCAATCAGTGGCGTCACAAGGGGGGGTGCGGCGTGCACCCGGGTGACACAGAAATTACCGTCAGTCATTTTGGTGTCACCCCCTCTGAAAAGTCGGCCATTCAGTAATGGACCGAGAGCCCCACAGTTGCAGGAGAGAGGAGGGTACCCCGCAGCATACCTTATACCCGCTGGGTGAACGTCCCCTCCTCTCTCTGCCGGCGTCCATCATCAAGATGCCCACTGGCATGTATCACCAAGGTGACCGCGTGTGTGCAATGACGTTATCGCACACACGCGTGGTGATGTCATGCGCATGCGTGATGATGTCACGGCGGGGTGTGTCCCGGTACCCGCTCCGGGTGACACCGGGCCTCGCGACGCCCCTGCCTTCATTCAGTGTAATGATGCAGAGAGGAGCACAGGCATCATCATCATGTCATAGCCATTCTCTGCATCACTAAGGACAGACCAACAATGGGAGAAGATCTGAGGAGTAGGTGGACCCTGCTCATCAAAAAGTAAAAATCTGAAAAAAAGGCTAAATAAATAAACAAAAAGAGCAAAAAATACACACCAGGGTGCTCTGGGGAGGGCGGGAGTTGGGCTTTCATTTGCTTATAAGTAACACTCCCCAAAACCACTATATATGATAATAATAATATTTTTGACTGAACCTATTCCAATCACAAAGGTATAAAATAGTTAATAAAGAGGTTCATGAACTTTAGTTAGTACATAAATAACAAGCCCATTAGAACCCTTCTAATAATTATAAGGTGACTTGTAAACCCCCCGGGGACTTTGCCAGTTCCGTCAGCTCTGAGGTCGCATTTGAGCTTGTTATCGTTTACAGAACGCAGTGGAACGTATAAAGGTCCTTCACCTTCATATCTACAAAACATTGGCTGACCCATTACCCTGGAAATTAATGTGATTCATGCTACATGACGTGATGGAACGCTCAGAGCTGTTCATTAGGACACACCAAAACAAAACATGGTTAATTAGCCGTGTAACAAGCATGTTTAATTATATACATGACATTAGGTGACTTGTACAGATTGCTATGTGACACAAACATCTCCAAGGACTCACGTTTGATCACATAATGAGATAAAGCCTGGGAAAAAAAATATTAAATTAAAAACAACAGCTAAGAGTTTTGCAACTTGTAAGGTGATATAATGTGAAAAAAATCAATGTACGGTGATGAAAAATACATATTTAGAAACACCAGGAGACTAACTATAAACTTCTCACTAGATGGTATTGGACACCGGCCCTCCTGCATAGATACTATCCTGGGGTCTCAGATGTTTGCTGGCGCTGCCAGTCGGGAGAGGGCAACCTACTTCACCTCTTTTGGACTTGCCCGCGTCTATTGCATTTCTGGTCTTCGGTCCGTACCATAGTTCGCAAGTTCACGGATACGGATCTTCCAGATGACCCGTCCTTCTTTCTACTGCATCATACGTACATGACCAAAAAAGCCTATTCTCTCTTTGTAGTTCTGGATGCAGCCAATCTTGTGTTCCGAGCCTGTGGAGGAATACCACACCCCCCTCAGTGTCTATGTGGATCCGAATAGAAGAGATCAGAGAGATGGAGGACTTAGTTTTGTCCTCAGATAACAGACATGGGAGGTAATACAAGACATGGTACTATTGGATGGAATTTATAGAGTCTTCTGGACACGGGGCTGATCTCATTACAACCCTCAGGTGTGGAGGTGGGCTCCTCCGTACAGACTTTCTCTCTACATACTTTTTCCTTTGTTCACCTCTCTTCTCCCCCCCCCCTTTTTTTTTTACACCCCTATAGCTAGCCCCCACCTCCTAGTCAAGGGGATACATTAAGGGTGTTTTGAGTATACTAGAGGACTTACCAACCCCGCAGCCTATTTTTTTTTTGGTCTTTTATGACCTTTGTATTGTCTAAATCAGTGGTTCTCAACCTGTGTAACCTCTGGACCCACATTTGTTCTCAGTCGTTAAATCGCGACCCAAGCCCCACTGCAATGGAGTGCACGGCAGTGTGGGCTGCTGTGCTGTGCTGGAGCTCCATTCATATGTGCATTGCTTGTACAGCTCCCATGTGTGCCTGTAGAGGTGCCAGGAACCAGAATGTGATGTCACTCCAGTCCAGGCACCTCTACAGCACATGCAAAGGAGCTATAAGCAATGTACATATGGATGGAGGTCCCTCGCGGCCATACCCCCATCCCACCTCAAGTCAACACTTGGCGCCGGGCAGCATATTTTAAATGCTTGCTCAGTGTTAGAATGGACAGTGCTGCACTAGGTGGAGGCTAGGGGGAGGCTGAGTAAGCTCTCACCTAGAAAAGTGGAAGGCATATGGCAACCCACTGAACAAGGGGTCGCGACCCACTTTTGGGTCACGGCCCACCAGTTGAGAACCAAGGGTCCAAATGCTTATATAACTAAAGGGTACTCACATCTGAGTTTGAATTGTCTCTGTACTATCATTATGTCAAACACTGAGAAAGGAAGCCGCGGGTTGTCTACTTTGGTATTATAAGTATGTTTATTATGCTTACGCATTTACACCCGGCTTAATACTTCTTGCCCTTACAAGTATACATCTGTATCGCTAATGTTTTGTTTTGTAACCTGAATAAAAAAATTAAAAAATACATATTTAAAATTGCAGTAAAAGAACTACTCAACAGATCATTTCTTCTTGGGTTTAAGTTATGTGAATCCAAAAGATGACTTTACCTTTGAGGAGGTTGATCCACATTTCAGGCAGAGTGAAAAGTGATCTAGTCATGGTCCTAGGATGCTACCTCCCAGGCAGTCTCAATTGCAGGGAATGAACTGCTCAAGAGATAATTGTTTACAAGGTGTAAGGTTAGGAGCGCCTTCCACAATTGGTCAGATAGATTGATATCTCTATGAAATGTTTATTGAATAAAATACAGCCAACGCATTCCCGGGGAACAGCCTACCCCACCCACTTTAATTTCCATGTGGACATGCTGATACCTCTTTCAGATTTTTTCCAGCCTCAATGTAGGCATTTTAAAAGTATCTTGTTCAAATGTAATTGCAAACCACACGTTTAGCCAATGAAGAAGGGAGAGGCCGTTTCCTGAAACGGCCTCTGTGTATTTTATTCTTTGAACAGTTGATATCAGTATCAAGCTTTCTGACCAGTTCTGTGCTATTGAAATCCTTATAGTCTTATGGTTCCTAGGGAGGAGAGAGGGGAAAAGGAGCACACTCCAGAATGATCTTGCAGCTATCCAACCAACCCAAGGGTTTGCCGATGAAACTTGAAAGATAAGAACAGAAAGAGAAGCGCAACGATCCCTACCACTGGATGCAGAGCTCTGGCGGTGGAATTTAGCTGGGGAAGTTGGCACCAGAGGCATATCTACAACAAATTGTGCCCCTGGCATTCCGCTCAGCTCCTGGCAACCAGTGCCCCCCCCCCCCCCCCTTTAAGTGTGCATGTGCAATTCCCTGGATACACCACTGGTGGGTACATGTGTCCTCTTTCTCGGCCATCCAGAAAACCAGAGGTGGATCTGTCTTCTGCTATGCCGCTGGCCCCAGATGCAGCACTCCCCTCCCTTCATGTGAGCGCCCCATGCCGAAGGAAGTTTGAGTGTTTCAGTACATGTTTTTAACAAGAAATGCGGTTTTTATTGCGCTGGATCATTGCACTTCTCTTTCTGTTCTTACTGTATCTTTCAAGTGGTTCTATAATATTAGGCCGTGTTTGCACTATACAACAGCGGTTATGTATGTACATCTGACAAGTGGGGTGAGAAGCAATGATATGCACTGCCCACTGTCCTGAAATGAGGAATGATCCTCTTATTTTTGGGATATTTGATAGAATGAGACATGTGAATACCTTCTGTTCGAGGAAGACTCTACTGTGCTCCACCTGATTTCTAACTTTCGGTTTCTGTTCCAGTTCCAGTGTCGAAGCCAATGGTGCAGACCGAGCCATCGTACGGAGCCGTGGAACAGGTGGGAAATATCACCTTTAAATGTTTCGCAATGAAAGGAACGCGAGTGGTGTACGAGTGGCTTAAAAATGGCGGACCCCTCCAGGACAGGTCCAGTTACGTCTTCTCTCCGAATAACGCCACCTTCACCATCGTTTCCGTCACAAAGGGTGACATCGGCAACTACAGCTGCTTGGCCAGGAATTTCGTCAGTGAAACGGAGAGCGATGTCATCACTCCAACCATCTATTGTGAGTATCAGTGGATGGTAGACATGTAAACTGTGGAAAATTCGGTTCAGATATTTCGTTATTTTGGGATTCCGATCCGAAATTCAATTCGGTTCGGGTTTCGGATTCAGACGAAACCCAAACTTTCGTTAGTTTCGGAAGAGTTTACGAATATTCATTGCGAATACCACAGAAAACCATATACAGATATTATCACTAAAGCTGAAGCTCCTAGACCCGAATGGCATTTGGGAGTTCTCGATTGCTATTTGGAAATTCGGACTCCATTCGGGTCTTAGAGCATCAGTTTTAGTATTATGTATATACTGTACAAGTAGTATTCTGTAATACAAACAAATATTCGTAGCGGCAACATTGTGACACATATATTTGGGATGCACCGTTACTAGTATCGGTGCCTATGCCCAGTATTTAGGCGAGTACGTACTCGCCCAAATGCTCCGATGCCTAGCCCCATACTTCCGGTATCAGGAAGCGGGGCAGCGAATCTTTACATACTGCCTGGCTTCCTGACTGGCCAGAAAGCCGACTCCATGCTTTCTCATCACCTAGTGACGAGAATGATGGGGACGGCTTCCCGGGTAATCAGGAAGCCAGGTGGCAAGTCATTCCTTAATGGGACTTCCGGTATCGATATTTATACCGATACCAGAAAACAAATATCAGTATTCCTACTCGATACCGAAATACCGATATTGGTGCATCCCTACCATATATACATAAAACTAAACCTGAGGCTCACAGACCCGAATGATATTCAGTAGCTCCCGAATGCAATTCGAAAATTCGGATTAAGACCCATTCAGACTCATTTGATGCATTAAACCAAAAAACACATCTGATTGGCCAGAAAAGTCACATTCGTAAATGGAAATTCAGATTCGGATGCATTGGGATGAGGAAATTTGGATGTGTCCAAATGTCCGGATTTTGGAAAATTCTGACAAATTTTTATTTGGAACGAAACGAATCGCACATGTCTAATGGATGGGTCGCTAGTTTTATCGAGTGGAGGCTTTTAGGTACATTTTTTGGGAAGGTGTTTGGAAGAACATTTTTCTACCCAGGGCCATCCCTATTAAGAGGTGGTTGCATCTCCTTGGGTCATGTGGGACCTTTATAGACAGGGCGTCCCTGGTTGCTAAGAGCTCTTAGCAACCTTGGATGCTTTTGCCAGCGTCCCGTTCAGCTCCTGGCAACCAGTGATGTCAGCGAGCTGGGCAGGATGCCGGACCGAGCCAGAGCTCTCCAACCCATAACGTGCACCACTAGAGGTTCCCCGCCACCCCACAGCCGGCCTCAGGCAGTGAATAGTTTAGGGATACCCCTGTTTCTATCATTTCTCAGCTGTTCCAGATGTCAAAATGCATAAAACTATTTGAAAACTGCCCAAATAAAAGCATAAAGCCACTAGAAGCTCAAACTTTCACTAAACATTCGGGAAATGCAAACTCCTAATTTTGTTAATCCCTAAAAATAAAGTAGAACCAAATCCTAACCTGGCAGCCGGTGGGAGCTCTGCATATCCTGCTCTAATTAGCACATCCCGCTTCTTTCATTTTCCCAATTAGAAACACATAATGTGGTGAGGAGAACCTGTATGAAAGGGCTCCATATCCACCTGTGCCTAGGGAAGCATGCACGGCAGATACAGCCTTGCTGGGCCATATGTTCTTCTGGGTCCTATCCCATCTTTTTCAGTAATTACACTTCTGGGAGCTGATGGCCTTTTGCCAACTTCTGGTTAATGTGATGCTGTTATCTGAACTCCAGGAAGATGTAAAAGGCACAGTGGAATGCAGCTCTGTATTCATTATGCAAGCAGTGTAAGTACACGAATTTAAAGCTCAACTCCAGGATAAAATAATATTGTCCTCATACAAGAGTCATGTGTATTCTTATTTCAATCTTGGTGAGCTGTGTGTATTTCTTACAGATCTGGGCAGTGATCCAGTGTGAGACTTGGAGCTTCCTGTAATAAAGACCGATCACTGCTGCTCTCTCTCCTTGTGCAGGATGACTGGTCTTGTCTCCGCCCCCTCCTGTAATACAGACCAGTCCCTGCAGCTCTCTCTTCCTGTGCAGGGTGACTGGTCTTGTCTCCGCCCCCTTCTTTAGTTTCCTGTGGTGGGTGGAGCTTCCTGTAATAAAGACCGGTCACTGCTGTTCTCTCTCCTTGTGCAGGGTGACTGGTCTTGTCTCCGCCCCTTCTTTAGTTTCCTGTAGTGGGTGGAGCTTCCTGTAATAAAGACCGCTCACTGCTGCTCTCTCTCCTTGTTCAAGGTGACTGGCCTTGTCTCTGCCCCGTCCTCTAGTATGCTGTAGTGGGTGGGGCTTCCTGTAATAAAGACCACTCATTGCTGCTCTCTCTCCTTGTGCAGGGTGACTGGTCTTGTCTTCGCCCGCTCCTGTAGTTTCCTGTAGTGGATGGAGCTTCCTGTAGTAAAGACCGGTAACTGTTACTCTCTCTCCTTGTGCAGGGTGACTGGTCTTGTCTCCACCCCCTCCTCTAGTTTCCTATAGAGGGTGGGGCTTCCTGTAATAAAGACCGCTCACTCTGTCTCCGCCCCCCTCCTGTAGCTCTCTGCAGGCAGTCTACAGTGGGAGGAGCTTTTGGGTCCCACCCATGGATCTCCTCTCCACACTAGCTATGTGTGCCCAGTGATGATGTCACTGCTATGTTTATGGGGTAAAATATGTGCTTACAAAGGCATTTGGTGCACATAATGTGGATTTCTATCCTTTATGGCTATTGAGAAATGTATTTAAAGGAAAGTTTTTTCAACCTTAACTTGATATCAGCCTCTGGTAGGCTGTACAGGAGAGCTCAGCGAAGGGAAGAGAAGCAGCATCACAAGGAGTCAATCAAGTGTACTCCAATCCAATGAGCATACTGATAGGAGGTGAGAGCAGCATGACCGAGAGATGAGCTCCCCAGTATGCTGCTTCTCCTTTTACTGTCCAGTCAAAAGGGTGGGAAGAGATCCTGTAAGTAGGGAAACAAAAATTGGAGACGGAAGCGCCACTACCTAGCGCAATAAATGTGGTAGAGTGGGGTGTAGGCGTAAGAGTTGTACTCACCTGAGGCTGGGTGAGTATTCGCTTGTAATCGTCCGGTGGTGGTCAAGCGGATGGATCCACCCTGAAAAAGAGGGACTACTAGCACCACCACTCCACCCCATCCGCTTGACCACCACTGGATGATTACAAGCGAATACTCACCCAGCCTCAGGTGAGTACAACTCTTACGCCTACACCCCACTCTACCACATTTATTGCGCTAGGTAGTGGCGCTTCCGTCTCCAATTTTTGTTTCCCTACAGCACATGTGTTGGACACCCCGGTCCAGACAGAACGGAAGCCGCACACCTACGCCACCAACCCCCGCCCCCCGTACTTACACCCACCACACCACAAGCGCGAACCAGTGTACCTAACAAGTACTGCCCCCCTTCCTCCACATTTTCCCCGTACCTCTGTTAAGCGCCACACAAGGGGTAAAACTCAAAATTTTTCAGAGATCCTGTAAGTGAACTCCAGAGAAGGAAAAGAAGCAGCAACACAAGGAGTCATACAAGTGTGGTGCATTCCATTGCGCATGCTGATAGAAGAAGAGAGCAGCGAGCTCATCAGTCTCCTGCCTCGCCTCTCCTTTTACTTTCCAGTCAAAAGGGTGGGGAGAGAACCTGTAAGTGAAACTGCAGCAGAAAAAGATCAGCTTTGCGGTGGAGCTGGGTAAATCTCAGAACTGTATAGGCAGAAATAAGGTTAAACCAGCTCCCTCATACATCTTTCATCTTTGAGTTTAGATGTTTGCCTGGAGTTCAGCTTTAGGGTAAGCGAACGGGTTAACCATCATTCGCACCTATCCAGTTCGGAATATTGCAGCGGCGTTCTTGGCAGCGGCAACTTTCCATCTATATTTCGTCAATAACATGTTTGCTATAGCTCGGCACTCTCTCGCTAGGGTTTTCGTGTACCATATGCCGAGACTGCGGGGGAGTGCAATGATAAAAAGGTCCCTCGCACTAAGTACCTCTGCCATCTGCTCAATAATAGAAGGGGCGGGTGCGCGCGGGCGGCGCGGCCAATCGGCAGCGTGCTCCCTGCACTAAAGTCCCAGGCAGACAGGTGATTTATCATTTTACAAGCCTGCTTGGTAAACAGCAGTAAGCCAGCCAATGTGTTCATGTCTTTACTGAGCTTATCTGCTGCTGGGAAAGGGAGAAAATGAAAAGTGATGTGTTCCATGTCAATGTGTCTGCAATGAGGGATGATGGGAGCTGGAGCACCGAGTCCTTTGTTTCCTCAAATAAATCCATTGCTAAAACTTATATTTCATGATCCCCTTTTTATGTTCTCTAAAAACTGCTTTTTCTATGCAAAGAGCTTAACTCCCTTCCTTTTATATGGTATGCAGGGATCCCAACCTGAAAAAAGTTATTTCAGGGAGGTGCCCTTCTCATTTTAGGGAGGTGCCCTCTTCGGGCGAGAGAGCACCCCCCTGAAATGATGGCAGATAGTAAAGAAGCTAATGCTTCCCGTGCTATCTGCTGGGTTTTAAAAAAAGTATTCTGACACCAGCTGCCGTCAGAATAATTTTAAAAAAAAACAGCATAGGAATGAAAAGCTAGGCTCCTATTGGTTATTTTTCAATTTGCAATAGCCAATAGCAAGCTGCCTATTGCACCCACCCAATGCTGCTGTCAATCAGGAGAAAGAGGACATGATGGAGAACTTCAGGTCCACCTCTGCTGATTGACAGCAGGATTGGGCAGGTGCAATTGCTAGTAATCTAGCTATTCATTCTGATAATGTTTTTCTTTTTCACTCTGATGGCGGCCGGCGGCTCCAATATCAGAGTAAAAAAAAAAACAGACAGCAGGGAATGGTTTACTCTGCTAGATAGAGCAGAGTAAACCTTTCTGGGAAAAGATTTTTCTCTCCCGGGTGGCCGGGAGCCGCTATCTAATAGCGGGAGACACCCGGAACGTCCGGGAGAGTTGGGATGTCTGGGAATGTCACATCCCACAGTAGTATTTTATTTGATCCTAGCCTCTTGTAATCCCTTTGCAATACTCAGGCTGGGACCAGGAGGTGAAAGCAGTAGGGGCCAATCAGGTGTGCTGCATGCACATGTGCTGATAGGGAACATGCTGACAGGAGGAGAGAGCCCCCCTACATGGCTTATAGTAGTATTAAACTCCGACACCTTTTTCAATAATGAAACCAGACCAAACATATATGGCTCTGCTTATTGGTTAAAAATATAGTCCATAGGATGTCTCCTCTGCAATAAAAGAAACCTTCCTGCTCACATTTTTTTGGAAAAAGCTCTAAGTTTCGATTTAGGTAGATGTACAGTATATTTGTGACAAAACATGTCCCCAGCCTCCCCTATCTTTCTTATTACAAATTGTTGTACTCCCCCTTCTTCAGTAAGTGCTTACTTCGGTTAGCAGCTGCGGGGTTCTCTAGTGTCCGTCTGCTCGGGCCTCTACACTAATGTTCCATAGACTTCAATGTGACATCAACTATATGGGTACATCCCATTAAAGTGACATTAAAGTCAAACTTTTTTTGCCCCTTCCCAATCCCGCTGTTGGGACTTACCTTAAATGATGCCTCTTGATTCGATCATCTTGTTCTTTACTGTCCTTTTCAGCTGTCCCTCCAGTGATGGTGCGGGTCTCCGATCCAGCGCTGACTCCTCTGTAGGGATGAGCCGAGTGTTCGATTCGAACATGAGTTCAAATCGAACATCGGCAGTTCGAGCGTTCGCCGAACTTTACGGGATGTTCGCAGTTTGTTCGACCGCGGACATTCCATAAGGCAAAATGCCCTCTGAAGCTCTGATTTGTTAAAGTCTTGCACCTGACCATGGGTCAGGTGCAAGACTTTGCCCAATCAGGGCTCAGTATTGAATTAGAGCCATGATTGGGCAAAGTCAAGATGACTCTGCCCAATTATGGCCTGCCTATCAGATGTCGGTAAACTACACAATTGGGCGGAGCTAGCTGTCAACGCTATGTTTTGCCGGCATCTGTCAAAATGCCATTATGCGTCGCGGAGCGGACGGGCCGGCGGCCGGCAGGTTTTTTTAATTTATTATTTCTCTTTATTTTTTATTGTTTTATTTTTTATTTTGTTGTCGTTGTGGACAACGCTGGACACCGTGATTGACCCTGGATTACGTCGGTGGATCCATTTTTTGGTTGTTTTTTTTAAAATAAAAGACTTGTCAAAAACATGTCTTTTGTTTTTTTTCCAAATAAAGGATTTTATCAAAAGTCTGGACTTTTTAATAACTATTTTATTTAACCCTTTAGTGAATGGGTAGGGGTAGAAGTACCCCTTACTCATTCACAAGGGAGGGGGGCGACATTTGGGTGCCCCCTTAATTAAAGGGGTACTCAGATGCAAATAAGCCCCCTTGCCCGCAGACCCCCACAACCACCGGGTCAGGGTTGTGGGGACGAGGCCCTTGTTCCCATTGGCACGGGGACACCCTCCCAGTGCCGAGGGCATGTGAATGTTTTTTTCCCCCTATTTTTGGGGGTGGGGTTCCTCCTTAAAGTTCCTACCAGACCTTAAGGGCCTGTTATGACTTTAAGGGAGAACCCCACACACTTTTTTTTTTTTGTTACATGGGGTCCCTCCTAAATATATCCATACCAGACTTTAAGGGCCTGGTATGACTTTTAAGAGGAACCCTATACAGTTTTTTTTTAACAAAATTGGTCCCTCCTAACATTTCTACCAGACCTAAAGGGTCTGGTATTGTTTGGGAGGGGGAACTGCACACTTTAAGAGAAAAAAAAATGCGCCACTTCACAGGCAGGTTAAGGGGACCCCCCAGGCATGATATTTGAAGGATTTTTTCATTTTTTTTTTACCCTTTAAGTGATGTAAAAATCACTGCTCCTTTAAAAACGGTATTTTGTTTTTGTTTTTTTTGGCATTGATTCCTGTCCCCCAGGGCAGTACCCGGACCCCCATACACCAATAACTTTCCTATAAGCCCTCTTAAAGGGGACATTCATTTTCAAACGACCCCCATTGACTTGCATTGAGTTCGAGTTCGTATTTGAACGGGGGGGTTTGGCTCATCACTACTCCTCTGTCCTCCTCTTCTCTCATGTCGAACAGAGTCTGTGCGGGTGCACGCTGCTCCATAGACTTACCTTGTGTCTCTCCTCGTTTACCGGCCGAACATCTGAAGTGCGCATGCGCCCACCCCAAGATCCTTTGCGGCCGCCCAAGATTCTTCAGATGTTCGGACGGGAACGCGCAGCGGAGACACAGGTAAGTTTAAACCCTTTTTAAAAGTTTTTTTAAAAATGTTTTTTGCATATATCTACTGCTTGCTAGCCGTAGATATATGCAAAAACACGCAAGGGTTTAAAGTCCAAGGGACTTAGTTGATTGTCGTGGGCAGCCTGGCGTTAGATTTTTATGAGCCAGGTTGCAGGCAATGCAGGAGGTCACCACTGCTGGAGAAGGTCAGCAAGGACTTGCGTGGGTGCATATATCTGTGTATGAGTGGGCTGGGGAAACGTTTTTACGCATGGACATATATTTTAAAATGTACTGCATTATTATTATTATTTAAGAAATTATATTTTTTATTAACAGATGGACCTTACGGTCTGCGAGTGATTTCCGATAAAGGACTTAAAGTCGGAGAGGTCTTCACCATTGACACTGGACAATCTGTTCGGTTTGACTGCTCAGCCGACTCTAACCCACCCAACACCTGCGCCTGGATCCAGCGGACCAACAACTCCACCGAAATCATCAACTACGGGCCCTACTTCAAACTCCTTTCCGACAAAGTCAGGCAAAAGTCTATGGATTACCTGTGCCGGGCCTACAACAACATCACCGGCAGGGGAGAAGAGATGCAGTTCACCGTCATCATTACACCCATAGGTAGGAAAAGTCCCAGGTCCTTCCTTCCATGAGAAGAAGGAGACAAAGCTGATTCTCAAGACTGAGAGGGTTTAAAACCGTCTGTGTTGCCTCTAGTAACTAATTGACCTCTGACCTTCATTTTCTAACTGACAATAGAAAAGTGAAAGAGAGAATGTGATTTTTAATATTTTGCCTTGCCTGGTCCCTCCCTCCCATCCCCCCATTCAGCGTGCTTATAAATTGTTTAGATTGTGGTTTATCCCTGGAGTGAGCTTGGTGACTACTTTACAACACACACGGGGACAATGGGGAAAAAAGTAGTCACCTCCAGATGGAAGGACAGTGTCAGCATCAATTCAGAGATGATTTGAGGATCTACAGCCTAGTGATACACAAATAAGATACATTTTTGTTAATAGTTAAAAGAGAACTCTGGGGTAAGTGTTTTTCCCTATGGTCACTGGAGGAAATAAACTAGCGTCCTCCCGTGACCCAAAGCTCAGTATATAGTGAGCTACAGCTCGCGGTATACTAATTAGACATGTGCACCAGCAAAAAATGTGTTTAGTTTCGTTTCGATTCGGATTTTGCTTTATTTTGTTTTTTCGAAATTCGGGTCCGAAAGTCAATTCGTTTCGGAATTCGGATTCGGACTAAATTCGTTAGCGGAAATCCGTACGAAAATTTGTTTCGTGTTCGTTCGTTGCAGCAAAGTGACATTTAAGAGTGAAAAAAAGGTTTTTTTTCTCAAATGTCACTTTGCTGCAATGAATTTTCATCCAAAAAAATGAAATTTCGTCCAAAAAAAAACGAATCGGAAATTCGGATTCGTTTGCATTCGTTATACCTGTAATTCGGAATTTGGATACATCCGAATCTCCAAATTCATGAAATTTCATCCGAATTTAGATTCGGAACGAAACGAATCGCACATGTCTAATACTAAGCCTGCCGCAGCCAGCCCTAAGCTAATCACAATGAACCCTAATTCATTCCCTTTTCCCCCTTTTCCCACTAGCTATTATTTTTCTCATGGTTTGTTTCCTTTATTTCTATTTTTGTTTGCCATTAATATGCAAATGTCTTTATCATTTTCATTCATTTTATTTGCTAGTTTTTGCAGTGTCGCATTAAAAACAAAAATCACAAATTCAAAAAGAAAAAAAAGCGCCTGTATTTCAGTTGTATCCAACGTTTCCATGCATGATTCAGTTCTGATAAATTCCACCAAAGTTTTTTAGTCAACTTGATTTTTTTTTTTACATTTTAGCAAATTATAAACTGATGATTTTTAGGTATGTGAGAAAACTAGTCATTATACAAATAAACAATAAATGCGGGATAAATTAACTTGGGTTGCAAAGTCTTAGTAAAACAAAAGCCCAGTCTTGCCCCGATTGCTTTTGGCAGTCTGTGTATAGGTGCCCATACACCTGATGATTATCGTACGATAATCGTGGGTGATCCCCTGATCGTACGATAATCGGCAGGTGTAGGGAAGGCGCGCAACCGTTTCTACTGTACGGTCGCACGTCTTTTGTCTCCTGAGCAGGCTTGAAAACCCGCCGAGAATCGTACAATTTTTGGCGGGTTAGTGGTGTTCTCGGGAGACAAATGCGGCATGGGCACACTGCCTGCTCAGCATTGGAATCATCGGAAGCCCTCCCCTCAGCGATGGGCGATTATCGCAAGTACGATCTGCCTGTCCAAGATGGCCAGATCGTACGAAATTTTAATTACCTTACAACCATCACAGGATGAAAGTCGTGCGATGGTTGTAAGGTGTATGGGCACCTTTAAACTGACTACAACTGGTGGGCCAATCCGAGGTGGTGGCCCAGGAGTCTGTATTATCTGCTCTCTCCTGCTCTTTGGGTCTGTATCTCGGCACCAGGTAGCCAGTACTCTTATTTGGAGCTTGCCTTCAGCAGGTTTCAAGTGGCAAATGTAAAACATTTGAGATATTTGATATATATTTGATTCCTAAAAATATATTTTTTAAATAAAATATTTTACGAAAGTGTTAAACGTAATAAAATAAATGAAAGGTTTAATACATTCCCTAAGATGCACACTATGGTCATGTAGGCCTCTTGTTTTGCCTGAAAACACTCCGTCTGTGTTGCTGTGACAAGGTGCCAGTCTTACCTGATGCTTAACGGATGCCGTCCTGATATTTCTGGTATAGAATATGTAGTGTCGGTTACAGCAGCATTCCTTGCATGCAGAATTTGCTACATGACAACTGACGTGTTACTGTGAAGCTGTGAAAACAAGAAAATGTTACATTAGGACAGAAAGTTTCTCTTGTGAGATGTAGGTCAGCGAATGGTAGATGTATAGAAATAACTCCAATGTTACAAATATAAACAGTGTGAAAATGACAGGAAGAGAGCACGTGCGCAGCCCATGGTCTCTGCTCCTTAGGTATCACATTCAGTTATCAATTAACGTGAAAACTGATACATTTAAAGAGCAGTTCCACCTTTTTTTGAAAAAAATTACAAATTCACACTTCTTCATAGAAGAAAAAATATGTGCATTAGTTATTAAATTTGCATAGGAGCCAGTAAAGCATTGCAGCTGCGATCAGTAGATCATATGTGCAATGCTTTGACTCCTGCAGACTCTTCCTCCTATCCCTGTCCGTAACAAGGTATGGACATCCAGTAACATGGATGGGAGCAAGTGTCAGTGGATTACAAGTGCGGTGATGTTAGCTGTGTACCCGGCTTTGCAGCTAAGATGTTGTCAGCCTTAAACCCAGAAGTGCTCGGAGCGGAGAGCTCCCAGGTTCACAATCTGCAGCTGTCTGGCGTGTAGGTGGGGGTCATCCTGTGAGTCCTATAAAAGTGATCACTTTTACTTTTACTTAAAACTTGGAAGAATAGAAACAAGCTTGTTTTGACCCTTTGAAGACCTGCATGGGACACGCCAAAGGTCCTTAACTGGTTAGAGTACAAAGTTGATGGGAGAGATGAACTTTTGGTTAAAGGTCAACTTCACCTTTTATTTGCCGCCACCTTATACCCTTCAGGGACTCCAGCAGTAAGATAAAATCTCCACAACTGCAGAGCCTTATGGCAGTGTCACTCTAAATCAGTTGTAGTCAACCTTGGCACACCAGCTGTTGTAGAATTAGTCCTGTGAGGCATTGCAAGACTCCGACAGCTGCAGTCATGACACCCAGAGGCAGAGGCATGAAAGGATTTGCAGGTTCACCACCACTGGAGTACCATGGTTGCCTATCCCTGCTCCAGCTAATCAAAAACATGAGGGATCCAGCTGGGAGAGAATGACAACCCACTACGGACTTGTGAGTGGAGACACAGACTACTTCAGGGAAGTTCAGGGCCCTCAAAAGATAAAAGAAGCCACATGTCCACCGATAACTGGCACATCACTGGGCAGCAGTTAGTGTTTAACATAGTTGACCTTTGGTGGGAGGCGATTGGCTTCCTAACAATGTTTGTAAAACCTGAAGAATTTTCTGCTCCGATTGTGCTATTGACGTTATACACAGGAGTTATTTTGTGTCAACAAGGAGCCACTAATAAAACATGGCTGTAATAAGTCTAATGCATTTATTAGAATAAGTAAACAGAGTCTCAAAAGGGAAATAACACAGCACATTCATTTTTACAGTTTTACTCTAGCCATCTGTCAGGCCATTCCTGGCTCTCCTAGCAGGAAACCCCCATGTTCTGCACCTACGCTCTTTGAATTACCATGCCTACGTTTAACTAAAACAGCAAAACAGGTATTCCATTTCCACTTGAAAAAAACAAAACATCGTTGTTAGACCTCCTTGTCCAATGTACAGCCTGGAGAGATGAGAATGGCTGCAGTGGGATACTGGAGGAACTTTGCTTTGGAACGCGGCCATGCTAAAGAAATAGGAAAGAAGTCAATGATACAACCTGTGGGGGTCATCTTGGAAATGTAATCTTGGTTGGATTTAAGCCAATGGTAAAAAAAACAGTTTAGATGAATATATGGGTCAATGATTCAACCTGTGGGCGCCATCTTGGAAATGTAAGTCTTGGTTGGATTTAAGATAATGGTCAAATAAAACAGTTTAGATGAATATATGGGTCAATGATTCAACCTGTGGGCACCATCTTGGAAATGTAAGTCTTGGTTGGATTTAAGGCCAATGGTAAAATAAAACAGTTTAGATGAATATATGGGTCTTAAAGGATAACTACACCCCAGAACAATTATTTATATATGTTGCAGCTTACCAGTTCTTAGATATGGTGGCGTCACAAGTTTTCATTTTTCAGGTTATGAACATTTTTAGCAAGTACAGAAAATAGTCACTGATCTTTTCAAAAATGCCTTGTCCTTGTCACCTCCTGGGAGCTGCACCTAAGCTGAACAATCTTGGCTTTCTTCTTTAAACTAGACATCTCCCCATGTCCCATCCAATGGAAACGAACAAAGGCAGACATCAGTGACATCACAAGGGGGGTGCCCACTCTGGGTGACACCATCAGAGGGGATGGGGGGGTGACAGTCATTTTGGTGAAACGCACACTCAGTCATGGACAGTTGCACGAGAAAGGAGGGGACCAGGCGGCATGACGTACCAGAGCGGTGTCACCTGGGCCACTCTGGGTGACTGTGACACCACACCTGGGGACGCCCCTGGCAGACATATTTGTGGTCCAGCATGGGTGACAACTATGGCTCCGTCCATAGAGGCCAGGAAGTATGTTATCCCGGATAACTAGAATGAAAAAGAAAAGGGGGGATTCAGTGTGAGTGGATGGAGAACTTCTCCAAGGGGGGGTGGGCGAAGCAACTCTGAGTCTTTGCCCTGGCTGACGGAATGTCTAGCTTCACCACTGATAGGAAGTCATAAGTCCGATCTGTTTAGTGATTACTGTCTAGCAATTTTGGCAGCATGACTGAGCTACTTACAGGTGAAACTCGAATAATTAGAATATCGTGCAAAGTTCATTTATTTCACTAATGCAACTTAAAAGGTGAAACTAATATATGAGATAGACTAATTACATGCAAAGCAAGATAATTCAAGCCGTGATTTGTCATAATTGTGATGATTATGGCTTACAGCTCATGAAAACCCCAAGAACCCCAAATCCACAACCTCAAAAGAGTAGATTGTTACATGCAATCAATAAAACAAGGATTGTACATAGAACAATATCGGACCTCTGAAAAGTACAAGCATGCATATGTACTCAGTACTTGGTTTGGGCCCCTTTTGCAGCAGTTACTGCAATTACTTTTGCACGATATTCTAATTATTCGAGTTTCACCTGTAAAATCAACAGCGAATCTCTGAGAAATCCGGGCAAATAAAAAACCTGGCTCATTTTGATCTAGGGGCTGGAATAAAACAGAATCACTTACCTGATCCCGGCTTCCTCCAGGCTGATAGACTGGTCCCTGCAGCCTCTCCCCCCCTGGACCCCAACAGTTGAAGGACCACTGATGACATCATGTCTTATGCAGGTCCATTGACCTGCCTTAGATGTGAGGATGCCTTGGGGCTAGTGCTGACCTCTGCAGGATCAGGTAAGTAAAATGGCTTTATTTGAGTCCCCTAGAAAAAACTTGTGGGCTATCCCCACACTGCAAGGGTAGATTTTTTTTATTTGCCCAGAGTTCTTCTTTAAGCTGGTCATACACAGCCCATGGGGTCCGACATGAGGGGCCGAGTGAGATTAAACTCTTAATTTCCCCATTCACGCTAAACATCGGGGGAATCTCCCTTGCCGAGCTATAGTATTGGCACCCGTGTTTGTCTGAAAACCCAAACAGTCACTGCAGCTGATCGACTGCAGTCAATGAACACCCAACAATTTTCCACCCGGCTCCTTCAACAAAAGCCTATTGAAAAATCAACTTTTTGTCAAACGGAGTGGTACCGACAGGGCCACCCACTGATCATATTTTGGCAGGACTGAAATTCAAGTAATGTATGACCAGCTTAGCAAATCCACATATCATGGGAAGTATTTCTAGTTCAATTCTCATAAACTGGCCCCACAGCTTTATGTCATTCGGTACAATGGTTCATTCGTTTATAATGCTGAGTGATCGATAAGCCTGCCGACATGGTGTAAGCCTCTATGGCAGTCAGAGCATCTGGTGCTGAATACTATTTGATTGTCTGCTGTACTCCAGTCTATTCAGATCTGTGAGATCCCATTGTTCATCTGTCACTCTGCACTGTACACTGCTGCTGTGTACTGTTACTGTGTCACTGTCAGCAAACAGCTACTGACGCTTGTGTTTACCTTAATAATAAATTAGTGTGCACGATCCTGACAGACCGGTCTGCTCAGGTACGGACAACACTGCAAAAATGCTTCATAGTGGAATAGTGGATGGTGTTTTTCCTGTTTAGCTACAGTTCAGGGCTTGTTTTATCTTATACAAAATAATAAATACTGTATATATAATAAATAATATATAACAATAATAATAAAATTAAAAAAAAGTTTGGTGGAGGAGGGATTATGGTGTGGGGTTGTTTTTCAGGGGTTGGGCTTGGCCCCTTAGTTCCAGTGAAGGGAACTCTTAAGGCATCGGAACACCAAGACATTTTGGACAATTGCAAGCTCCCAACTTTGTGGGAACAGTTTGGGGATGGCCCCCTTCTATTCCAACATGACTGAGCACCAGTGTACAAAGCAAGGCCCATAAAGACATGGATGAGGGAGTTTGGGGTGGAGGACCTTGACTGGCCTGCACAGAGTCCTGACCTCAACCCAATAGAACACCTTTGGGATGAATTAGAGCGGAGACTGCGAGCCCGCCCTTCTCGTCCAACATCAGTACCTGACCTTACAAATGGTACAACATTCCCATAGTCACACTCCTAAACCTTGTGGACGCCTTCCCAGAAGAGTTGAAGCTGTTATAACGGCAAAGGGTGGGCCAACTCAATATTGAACCCTACGGACTAAGACTGGGATGCCATTAAATTTCATGTGCGTGTAAAGGCCGGCATCCCAATACTTTTGGCAATATAGTGTATATATATACACTTACCGGCCACTTTATTAGGTACACCTGTTCAATTGCTTGGTAACACAAATTGCTAATCAGCCAATCACATGGCGGCAACTCAATGCACTTAGGCATCCAGACGTGGTGAAGACGACTTGCTGAAGTTCAAACCGAGCACCAGAATGAGGAAGAAAGGGGATTTAAGTGACTTTGAACGTGGCATGGTTGTTGGTGCCAGACGGGCTGGTCTGAGTATTTCAAAAACGGCTGATCTACGGGCATTTTCACGCACAACCATCTCTGGGGTTTACAGAGAAAATCCAAAAAGGAGAAAATATCCAGTGAGCGGCAGTTGTGTGGACCAAAATGCCTTGTTGATGTCAGAGGTCAGCGGTGAATGGGCAGACTGGTTCGAGATGATAGGAAGCCAACAGTAACTCAAATAACCACTCGTTACATTCGAGGTATGCAGAATACCATCTCTGAACGCATCAACACATCGAAACTTGAATCAGATGGGCTACAGCAGATGAAGACCACACCAGGTACAACTACTGTCAGCTAAGAACAGGAAACGGAGGATAGAATTCGCACAGGCTCACCAAAATTGGAAAATAGAAGATTGGAAAAACGTAGCCTGGTCTGATTAGTCTGGATTTCAGCTGCAACATTCAGATGGTCGGGCCAGAATTTAGTGTAAACAATATGAAAGCATGGATCCATCCTGCCTTGTATCAACGGTTCAGGCTGGTAGTTGTGTAATGGTGTAAGGGATATTTTCTTGGCACACTTTGGGCCCGTGATGCTATCATGTCCATATGAACCAAAATATCTGAGGGTTCCAACACCTTGTTGAATCAATGCCACGAAGAATTAAGGCAGTTCTGAAGGCAAAAAGATGGTTTATATCAGGTGCGTCTGTGGGCAAGCAGCACGGAGGGAACCCGCTGACAGGAAGCAGCCTGAATGGTCCGAAGGCAACGTAACAAGGGACAATCCAAAGAGGTAGTCGGGGGCAATCCGAGGTCGAGGCAGGTAGCAGAGGGTCAGAGGCGATAGGCGGTCCAAGGTCGGTACACTGGAGGTCAGCAGAGGGTTCAGGAAACTGGCAGCAAGGCACATAGGAGGGGAGCTTCGTATGTCACACCATGAGGTGGAATAACTCAGCAATAAGCCAGAGCTCAGGCCAGATTTTTATAGCCAGGGGAGGTAAGACCACCCCCGGTCACCGAGGCAACCAGGAGGATTCCCTCCCCGGGAACCAATGGCAGGTGAGAGAGATGGAAGGTGTGTACTGGGAACCTCCCCCAGCAAGGCTCACACCTGATGCTTAATGGCGCAGGAGCGCTACGCACGCGCTTTCGGGGATACGCGCGCAGCTTGCGTACTGCACATGCGCACCCGCAACCCGAGCACCAGGAGTTCTACCAAGCTGAGGGGGAACCCGTGCCCTGCGCCGTGCCCGTGGCTCCCGAGCAGGGGTAACACCCCCTGCTTCCTGACAGTTTAATCCGGTACTAGCAAGGTACAAATAAATGGCCGGTGATGTCCTGGTAATCGTTTCTGGTACATAGTGCTGGCAAACAAATGTAGTTTAAGGGTTTACATCTACTTTAAAGCCTCGTTCTGGGCAAAATATGACCCCCCCCTTCATTGCAGCAAAGTGACCTTAGGCTGCTGCCTGGTTCAAGGGTCTGGTAAGGGATTTTAGGGGGGACCCCATGCTAATCTTCTTGTTTTTTTTTGCCATCCCCCCTAAAATTCCTATCAGACATAAAGGGTCTAGTAAGAATTAGGGAGGAGATTCCACGCTGTTTTTTTTTCAATGTTAACGTTTATCAACATAAATTCATTCAAAATGACATTTGGAAAACATTTTGGATACATCCAAAATTTCGTTATTGGAAAATATGGATACGTTTGGATTCGTTATTTTTTCATTCGGAAATTCGAATGCATCGTAATGTCCAAATTTCTGAAAATTTGTACGAATTTCAATTGGGAACCTAACGAATCGCACGTCTTCATTTTACTAATTAGAGGAATGTGTGCAACAACGTATGTGTTCCTGCATTTCATAGATGGGAACAAGGGCCTAAGATTACATACACTTTATGTTTGTTACAACTATTTGTATGTTTATTGCTGAGGGGATGATTTATAAATCATCCTCCCAGTAATATGATGGGTGAATAAGGTTGGCACGGCATTCTCTCTACTAGATGGAGACGAGGAGCATAGAAATCATAATGGAGAGAATGCCGTGTGAACGGCATTCAGTCAACGTATGGCTGTTACAAATTACAATTCTTTGTATGTTGAATGGTGTTGATTTGTTAGAAGAGGAAGTGCTGTCTATAAAATGTTCCTTCCAGCGCTTCCTATGATGGGAAAAGGGGAACTCAGAAAAGGAATGATTATATGATGATCATATTGCTCTTGTGGCTTAATGATTCCCCATCAAATCTGCATTGTATGGGTTTGAATGGGTTACTTAGATGAATTCCGCCAAGTCTGAAGGTAATACACTTCCTCTTCACTGTATTCTGTCTGTAAACAATGGAAAATTTGTTTCTGCTTTGTCTTAAAGGATCCGTTCATCCAGAAGTGATATTTTTGATAGTTAATACAGTGCTGATGAGTTTTTCTTTATAATTAATTGTTCTGAATAATTTTTCCTTTCTTTTCTCAGACCCTGAAAAGCTCTTGCAGGATACGGGCTCATTATCGCCACTGGCTGCCATTACAGGAGTGTCGTTATTTATTATCCTGTCCATATGTCTGCTTTTCATTTGGAAAAAATATCAACTTCACAGAGGTAAGGGGCTGGATGGGAGATCACAGATGTCACTGTTACAGTGAAGGGGTAACCAAACTTCGGCCCTCCAGCTGTGGTGGAACTACAAGTCCTATGAGACATTGTAAGACTCTTACAGCCGCAAGCAGGACTTCAAGAAGTAGAGGCATGATAGGATTTGAAGTAGTGGCGGAACTATCACCATCGACGCAGGGCCTGGGGCACAGGGGGGCCCAGTCAGGACGAGGAAGAAAGGGGTCCCCCTGATGCCGTGTGGGCCACCTGGGTCGCCATGGCATCGCAGGCTGCTGGCTGTCACTGGCAACTGTGAGGAGGAACGCGCCGCTGTCCAGATCACTGACAACCTGTCAGTGGTCTGGGCAGCAGCGCGTTCCTCCTCACAGCTGCAGCTGAGTCAGTGACAGCCAGCAGCTTGGGGTGGAGGAGGCTAGGGCCCGGCGGCAGCAGCGTAGGAGGAGATGGGGCCCGGCGACGGTGAAGGAGGCGGGGCCCGCTGGCAACCAAGGAGGAGGGGGGGGGCCGGTGATGGAGAAGGCTGGAAGCGGATTGGGGCTGACAGATAAGAGGTGTGCATGGGTGTGACCAGCTCACCTGACACCCTGCAGAGCCCACCATAGAGAGTCTATAGTGGGCTCTGCAGGGTCACTCTCAGGTGGGCTGTGTGGGCTCTCAGGGGGGCTCTGTAAGGGGTGTAACTAGAAATCACAGGGCCCCATGCAAAAGTTTGCTATGGGCCCCTGCGATTTCTAGTTATGCCCCTGATTTGAAGCTTTACCACAGCTGGTGGGCTGAAGTTTGGCTACCCCTGTTTCAGAGACTTTTACACTTGGATGTCTGTCTTGGTACTGCGACACATAGTGACATCTCCACAGCAATATGAATGGTAACCCTGACATGGAATGAGTGTGCAGATAAAGAGTTCTGACTTCACTCATTGTCTTTACTGACCTGCAACACTTGTTCAGGGTCAGTGACCTAGAAAGTGTTGAAGCCATTGGATTAGCATGAAGGGGGCCAGCAGTGACAGCCTCTATATTTCTCTCACTATGAGTTTCTTTTGAAATCCCAAAAAGACACCAATGCTACAGGAACTGGAAAATGTACAGAAACCCAATGCTGAGTCTTTTTTCTCTCTGTTGAGTTGCCTATCACGTTTGTGCAATAAGGAGTAGCAGTTGTATCATTATTGTTTTTTTTATTGCACAACTGTTTGCAATTCTCCCCACCGTAGAGATGTATACATATGTATTATTATACACATTTTCTGTGTTTCTA